TGAACAGAGGCCATTCATAGTCCATTCATTCACACCATCGTTAACCATCTTGTCTGGCAAGTTGTCTTTACGGTTATTCGCACCTTATCCTTAAACTCTCAGCTCTCCATATAACATTTCGTTGTCGGAACTTTCGATTGTAGAAGACGTCTGATTACATTTGTCAAGTTACAAAAGAAACTTCATAGACTGTCTGTAAAACATTGAAACTACATGTCATTCTGTCGTCAATTACTTCTGAATGCCAATCAGCAAGTTGCAACAGTAAGCTTCCTGATGGGTAATTGATTAATTGATTATCCATCAAATAACTTTATCCATCAATAACATTTCATTTCTCCCTTCCTTCTATGCGCATGTCTCTGTGTGGATGTGTCTGTGTATGAGTATGCGTGTGTGTGTGTGTTATACATTCTTCCGAGTAAGTTAAAAACTGAATATCATCAGAACGATCTAACCCCAATCAACAATATAAAGAATCGTTTTAATGTCTAAAATCGATATTCATTTAATGGTATTCCATGATAGAGAGAGATGGGGAGCGAGAGAGAGAGAGAGATTCTCTTATAACATCCATTACCTCCTTTTCACCTCATTCACTATCTCGAAAGTATGGAACAAGCTAATCACTGTCGCTCTAAGCACAAATCTCTTCCACCTCTATTCTCTTTCACTCTCTTCATCTCTATATCTCTCTCTCTATCAACCTCTACTACCACAGAAGTTGTGTCAAAACAAGATTCCATAACTTATGCTAATTAGGTGTTCGTTAATAGTAATGTAAGAAAGTGTTGTACTTTCTGGCTTTCTTCCAAATTCCCTGAATACATACCCTCATCTAAGGGAACGAGAGAATCATTTTGCTTTATGAAGTTCCGCCCCATGGTCATCTTCAAGCGACCAAACTTTGCCACATTGCACATCGTTGTTGATTAAAATCTTTTCGTTTTTTATTCGGCTTTAACACCTATTCAATGAATTCTAACAGTTTAATAGATCGCATTCTCACCTGATTTGACACAAAAAAACAATTCAAGCTGACTTTCGGGGGTAAGTCAATGCATTTTGAAAGATTGTAATCTCTGCCATACCATATGTATGTCCTATTATAAAGAGATTCAGGAAAATATGAAATTAGATTCAATCAGCGTTATGTGTGTGTATGTCTGTGTTGAGACAGACCTCTTGTCAGGTAAGTCATTCTCCATTCCATCTTCCTTATTAACACTTATTATGTCAGTCAGTTGTGAAATCAAAAGCGGCTTGTCAACTGCTCCTTCATGACCTCGCCATTGTCTCTATTGAGACTCACTCTACGAATTATTAACAAACCTCCTCCAGATAGCAATGTTTCGGAATTTCGAGACTGTTTCATTGTCAGCATTCGAATGCAACCGTTTCATCGTCAACTGCAAACATGAAAATGAAAATGATTGATGTAGCAGCTCACGTGAGTTTGACGTAAAGCCTTCATCAGCATAATGCCGATGATGGCTTTTTCCATTCATTCACTGCTCGCGTGATAGAATCATTGTTTACGCCAATAATGCAGCCTAAACAGTTAAGTTGTCTGATTAGTTTCTAAAAACTGCCAAATGGATCTAAACAGCGCCAATTTGTGTCTATAAACTGCTCTTGACCCGACTAGCTTTAACCGTATTAGCAAATGTTAAGAAAAAGAATTTGTCCTCCACACTTCAGAGTGCGCAGGTCGTTGCTACCTGCTCTGATTTGTAAAAAAAACAAAAAAAATCTTTTTTTTACTCGATATTGGGACTGATATGACTGTAGAGTAGGTTGACCTTAATGAATCGCCATCGAACATGACGTCGATGTCGTTCTCGACTTCTAAGACAACATTCGTTTCATTCTCCTTCATCTTGACTCTGCCGTGACAACACCAAACCAAAAAAAAGGTTCAAATAAGATTATCATTGTTTGAAATCTATGAATGACGTTTGGCTTTTTGGGGAATTTCAAGAGTTGAATTGAATTTTTTTTGTTCTTCTCTCTATTCCATCAACGTCATGGAGGGGGGTATGAACTAGGAGAGATAAGTCATCATGTTCATTACCTGTTACCCTGAACTACTGACCGTTCATTCATTAGAATCTCACAGCAGAGAGCGAGAAAGAGAGACCTTCAAATAGCTTTGTAAGAGCACGAAGCCCAATTCTTGCCATCTATAATCGAATTACAATGCTTATACTCTCATGAACAGTTATCTTTATCGGAAGTTCATCTGACGAATTGTGAATTGATACGGGATGGAGCTTCTCATGTCCTTCAATGCAATCATCCAACATAGCCTAAACATCATAACATGTGCAAGAAGTATATATATAATTGAATTATAATCTGAATGTCTTAACTATGCCTTAAAAGGTTGAAAATGACCCACTCCTGCCATAATTAATCTATTCGTTTCGGTTTTACACCACTTGCCCTGCACACTCTCTACTCAGTCAAACATTTATAAAGTTTTAACACCAATATCATGCTAGAGATGAAGTAGAATAAACATTTCAGAAAAGCCAGAAACTCGATTGAAGGTTCCCTTTCTCTCACTCTCTCTCTCTAGTTATCTGTTGCTATTCAATTCCAAACTGTTTGGATGGTACACCCCCCACCTCCCACGTCTTCAAAGATGTTCCTCGTTTTTCTCAAAAGTCAACTGAACCATCTGCTGTTTTGATGAAAAATTGTTTTTGAGAATGAGTTGAGAAAACAGTTTGACGATATATGATATAAATAGATAGTATATAGTTTGATGATTGGGGTCAATTACTCCGTTTTTCCTTGTTTTCTTGAAATGATCTCAGTACTCTGATCTGCCTTCCAGTTGAAGACTCGTCTTTGCTGGCTGTTCACTCTTGCTGCTGGTGTAGGAGGATCATTTGCATTTCAATTGATCACTTGCCGGCATTTCCTATTTGAATTCTCTTTTTCTATTCCCATATAAAGTGTTTTATCTTTTGATAGTGTTGATCAACTGATTGTGGTCATCAATATCATGCCGATCGCTGAAGTTGACGTCAACATCTTCACGTTCATCATGGTCGTGCCGTTGCTATTTAGTTGTGATTGTAACAAACGGATAGACGACGATACAACAGAAGGCCGAGGTCAAGAGTACCTGCCATGGCCAGCGTTACGTTTTCTGAACTTTCTTGAGAGCCCTTTTTCCGCTTTTGCTTGTCATATTTTGAACTTGAAACCCGTCAAGAACGGAAAACCTTTCGGTATAAAACGGAAGAATGTTCATGATGGACAGAAAAAGAGGAAGGAATGTGCCGTTGAGGAGGTAGTAGAAGAAGAACAAGAAGAAGAAGAAGAATGACAATGATGAATCTTCTTTGATTCGAATCTCAGCACTTCACCTGAAACACGAGCGAAAGCCAAGAGTGAGCTTTTTCATTTTGCCTGACGAAGTACCAGTTGAGCGGTTGTTCTTTGACAATGAAACTCTCTCGCCATCTTTAACAATCATCCCGGTATCTTCCGTTCTTTTTATATTTGTTTAAACTAAAAATTAACATGTTTAATGAGACGTTCCCGAAACAACTAAAGCTGAAACCGTTTTGAAAGATTCAGAGAGAGAAGGAGAGAGAGAGAGAGAGCGAGAGTGAGAGACAGAAACTAACAAAGCCTTATAAAGCAACTTATAAGCAAAGAGAATCCGGTTTTGATTGTATTGAGTAACTGTTTCAAGTAAATGATCTTATCTAACATGAGTTTCCATATCCACTCAGATGATTTCTTTGAGAGTTGGTAGTCGATGTTTGGCCATTGTATCAGCTTCTCTCGATTAGTTCTAACAAGTTCTTATGGAATTAAGAGAGAATTTCTATAAAGTATAGTTGTAGACGAAAGAAATCTGTTGAAGCAGAAAATACTTTTGTCTCTTCTTCTTCTTCTTCTTCTTCTATTCTAAAAGGTTTTGATGTTATCGCTTTTCCCCCTTTTTTTTAATTCTCAAAATACATTTTGAACTATGCCTTTGTAAGAGAGAGATAGAGAGAGAGATAGAGAGAGAAAGAGACAACCCTTTTCTTATAGGTTGTCTACTCCCGAACTTCTTTCATCTAAGGTAAGGCCCTTCTAGTCCTACCACTCTCTCCCCATCGAGTTGGTGTTTTGATATCTTTTCAATGCTTTCATCATATTTCAATGTTCCATCATCGATGTTTCAATGTCAACAAGTGAATTAACGAAATGATTAACAAAGAATGGATTTTCATTTTCATTTTTGTAAAGAACTTCCTGTGTCTGGAGAAAAAGAAGAAAGAAGAAGAAGGATGGAGAAGGAACGGTTCCTGGAGGGCATGTGTCCTTTCTGGTTTGTTCTTTCTCTCCTCGTTTGCAACCTTATATGGAAAGCTTTTGTGTTCCATGTCTGGCAGGCACATTCATCATCAAAAAGCTTTTCATGTTATCAAGAGTTCATTAAACATGAACCATGGGATAGATAGAATCCTTCTTCTTCTTCTTCTTCATCATCTTCGACGTCTACATCTACGTCTTCGTCTTCGTCTTCAAATCATTTGCAAATAGTAATTAAAAGTTCTTTTTCCTAGTTTTCTGTAATTCATTTCCCTTAGATGAGTAGATAAAATCTCAAAATAAACACATATCGTTGACATGCTTTACATCTACTACAACAGCCTCATTCCATCGCTCCTTTCCTAATCTTAATCTCTTTATAAACTCTTCTCATCCCTCATTTCATTTTCATAGATACATGGACTTCCTTCCCCTACACCTCCAACTGACATCTATATCCTCTGATTCATCTAATAACAAACCTTTCTAACTAACACACACACACACACACACCAAATGACTTTTGATTTAACCTTGTATTTCATTATTTCTCATACAACTTGCATTCTGATAAAGTATCATATCAACATTCTCGTATTGTCTTCATATTCTTCATACTCTCATCTCTCTCTGTGTTATTGTATGTCATCTTTATATTTCATTCTATAGCATTACAGATGAAGCCTTGGATTATTGGGAATTTGCTGCTTATCACATGGATATCTCCTCAACTATCAGGTTAGCGTCGTTTGATCTGTACTTAACCTCTCATCCGTCGTCCGACCTAATAATCCATCTTCTCTATATGATGCTAAGCTTCATCATTATATGATATAGAGAAGAATGATAATCAAGAAAATCTTGTTTACACTTCCATACTTTACTTAAATCACAACTGATATATGGATGCATCTATCACAGATCTATTCATTTTCCTTATTTGGTGAATCAAAGATTATCAACAATAGATATCTGGACTGATACTTCTACTTAAAAATGAAAAAAATATTTGAAATTACTTGTCTCACACACACACACACACAGATTGTGACCTTAGATGACTTGTATGTGAGACATCTAATTCAATTAGATATTCATAGTACTGACCCATATAAGGGAGAGGTGTTTGTGTTCGATAACTTCATATATCTAATTCAATTTATACTATATCACATAGATCACCTCATCATCATCATCATCATATTACAGAAGCCATAATTACCATAAATGAAGATGAGACACCTGTAACAACACGCTTTCATTGTATCAAGAATGGATGTTGTGATCATCATGAATGGTGTCGTTTCTGGGCATCAGTTGGAGAGTGTAAGGTATGTCACATTCTCTCATTCAAAATCATTTTCATCAACAACAACAAAAAAAACATTCAAAAGTGGCTTTAAGCTACCTTTTTCTTTGACAATTAAGTCGAGCGTATCAAACAAAAACATTTCTTGTTCTCATCGTTTTATATCAACGCTTAAGAAACACTTTCAAGATAAATAGATTTCAAAGAAGAACGGGGCTTCTAAACAAATGATCTTAATGGGTATGTGCGAAAAACAACCGCTCATTGCGTACAACTGAGTTGAAATGAATGTGCTTAGTTGGTTCGTACAAGACACGACCGCTTTGAACGTTCTAACAACTTAAAATGAAACATGGTATTCACCTCACGGACGCAATATACGTGAACCACGTGATGTTTCCCAATAGCTCACACGTATCAATAAACACCTCTTCAATGATTTGAATGAAGATGTTTTTGAAAACCTTGATTGCAGTCGAACGCAGAATGGATGTTAGATAACTGTCAGTTGGCTTGTAACAGCTGTAGACCTGGTATCAGCTGCAAAATCTGAAAAAGCACGACCAATTCGATTCTTCAGGTGCCGTGAAACCTGTGACAGCAGCAACTACTCGAGTTCCATTGCGAGCTTTCTCAAGACGAACAACTACACCTCGACCGTTCTTCTTCAGTACATCCCCAAGATCACGTCCAACCACTACTACAAGAAGACCAACGACATTTGCCCAATTGCGCACACGTCCAACCGTACAGTTTAGAACTCGACCCACCCAAGCACCTCGTACCCTTCGTCCAGCTTTCACCACCAGGTATGTTCTCGCTATGACATTATCCTTCATCCAACTAAGTAAGTTATGATTACTATCAATCAAATCTTGATCAGCATATGATAGCCAAGATGAAAGGAATGCTAATTCATCTTGAATTACAAGTTATCCATTGCAAGCATATGAAACTTTGCTTGATTGATCATCCGAAGCTTCATTCTATCAGTTCTCAGATAAAGATGAAAACACTTTTAATTATCCTGAATCTAGTTTCAACTTCCTAATAAGCTTGAGATACGATATCATCGAGTATTTGTTTTGATATACTCTGAACAAGATATATCTCTCCAAACTTCTTGCAACGATTCTGGGAAGCAAAAAAAAACTTTTTGTTCAAAGTAAACGTTAGAGAGTTAGATTGAGTTGCATGTGTGTACCATCAATTAGTGTTTGGGTTGGGCTCTCCATGTGTATGAGGAGTGTCATAGTTTGTCCATGTGTTCACGTTGTGAGATTGTTTTTGTTATGTTCACCTCAATATCCAAGTCTGTATTTAGCAGTAACCCCTCGTCTGTCCGTCTGGTTATGCTTCGACGTAATCGTGGTCGTGGTGGTATTTCTCATAGAGTGCCTTCTCTTCTTCGTGTACCCAATAAGCACATACCTTCAATAGATGAGCTGACGGAGAAATTCCATTTGAATAGTGGAACAACAGCTCAGGCTTTTACTCGAAGAGTGACTACTCCGTTTACCCGGTTCTTCTTCACGACCACAACACCTTTCACGACGACCACACCTTTCCCAACAACTACAACAACTCCTAGGACTACCACATCGACGACAACAACCACAACTGTTCCAACTACTACTACAACAACTACGACAACTCCACCACCCACGACAACTACATCTACGACAACTACCACCACGACCCCGACGACCACCACCACGACTCCTCGGACTACTACCTCAACTACAACCACTACGACGACAAGCAGCACTACTACTTTTACTACCACCACTCCGACACCTACAACTACAACAGAATTCTTTACTACTACAGAATTCACCACAACATCTGGAGTCGTCGACAGTCTGACTACCACACCAGTACCTCAGATTATTTCTTCCACAACAACGTCTGAAGAAACAGATGAACGATCGACTTTCAATAACGAGGATCCGTAAGTAGATGGACTACCTGATTCGAACAGCTTCTTACAGCTTATCTTCCACTTCTTCTTTCAAGCAACTGCCCTTACAAACAACCAACTGCAAGGCTTATCTGTTCTTATGTTCAGTTTTTATGTTTTATTTCAGAACTACCATCTTAAACGTCTTTCACTAACTCTCCAACTTCTATGTTTCCTCCTTTACTTCTCCATAACAGATTCTATTGAAATGATTAACAGAAGTCCTTCTTTTGGACGAACGCTTTCAAAATTCATAAAATGAATTACTTTTCTCTTTACAACTACTCTTTTTACAGACGACTGCGCACGAGACCAAGCACTAGAGCTTTCTTCCGGCCGCAGTAAGTTCTTCTTGAATTTGACAACAAACTAAGTTTATCACTTGCAGACCAACAACTCAGCGAACAACTCCAAGAACAACCACAAGAACCACTACAAGAACAACTCCAAGGACGACAACTACAACAAGAGCTCCTACTACACAACCGTTCCGTAGACTTTCCAATGCCCAGACTCAAAGGTGAGTGTAGCCTGTTCACATCTATCTTTATTGTTTTTTTTCAGATGTCGTCAAATACTCAAAGACCCTCTTGTTGCAGCAGAAGAGATGATCAGAGAGCGTTTGATTGTCACTAGTGAAGGTAACCAATTGGTAATTCAAAGTCATGTCATTGAATGCTTGCAGATAACAATAACAGACGTAGTATCGACTTGGATCAGGTCATCCGATCAAACTTGGCTAATGCTTGTGTACCAAGAATGGACGAACATGACTGTGAATCAAATCTCTGTTACAATGCATACTTCAGGTTGGAATTAGTTGAGCTCTCCGAACATAAGCTGTATTTATAGAACAATGGATGGTACATGCAATAACCTAGATAATCCATTACGTGGAGCTTCATATCGTCCATATACAAGACTTCTCCCAACCGTTTATGACAACGAACTTTCTGAGCCAGTTGGTGAGTGATCCCATACTTTCTAAAGTAGCTTCTTTTTTTCAGGTTCGCTGTTCCCTGAACTACGACCATCACCCAGAGAAATTACAAGACAACTCACATCATCCCATGCTTCTGTTGAAGCTGATGATTACAATGCCATGGTTATGCAGTTCGGTCAATTCTTATCTCACGACATGGCCAAGGTTAGCATCACACTTGTTCTTATCTTTCAACGCGAGCTTTTCAGACAACGTTAGTCCCATCATCGAAATGTAATGTTTGTCAAAACATTACCAGTCGTTGTATGGCTGTCCCTGTTAATGGAGATGATCCAAATCTTGGGTACGTTGTAGACACTTCTTCTCAATCATGTTTGCTATCTTAAGATTCAAAAGAAACACTTGCGTTCGTGTATCTCGTTCTTCCGCTATCTGTGGTTCTGGACGAACCAAGCCTCGTCAGCAATTAAATGAAAACACAGGTGATTTCCCCCACCATATAATTTTATAGTTTCTGTTTTAGGATACATTGATGTTTCGCCAATTTATGGTTCTTCCGTCCACGATTCGCTCAAGTTCAGAGATGGCAGAAGCGGTTTCCTGAAACTGCCCACTTTCCGAGGATTTGAAGGTTGGACTCCGCCATCACGTGGAGTGATAACTGTCTACTTTCAGCTTTACCTTTCGATCAGTCCAAATGTAAAAGTCGTCAGTCATGTACAGTCATATTCACGGCTGGAGATTCTCGAGTGAACTTGTTTGTTGGTCTCAGCGCTTGGCACACCATTTTCACTAAAGAGCATAATAGGTAAACAGAGGTACAAAGTAATCTCGAACCACTTGCGATTGTAGGCTTGTAACTCAATTCAAACGACTCAATCCTCACTGGGATGGAGAACGGTTGTACCAAGAAGCTCGTAAACTTGTGGGAGCACAAATGCAGGCCATCGTGTATAGGTTAGAAGAAACTGATCTAGAAAATTAGATCAAAACGATGTTCCAGAGAATGGCTTCCAAAAGTATTAGGAGCTGCCTTTGCTACAGTTGTGGGAGATTACAAGGGATACGATCCCAACGTTGACTCAACTATTGCCAACGAATTCACATCTGCTGCTTTCCGATTCGGTCACGGAATGATTCAAGTATTGCTTCTTCTCCATGTTCAGAAAATTGATCTCGTTTTCAGGAGTTTTATCAACGTCTTGACCCCAACTTTTCGAATTCCACTTTCGGTCCTCTTGTTTTCCAGAAAGGAACTCTTCACTCTGATGTCTTACTAAACGAGGTAGTCGTGCTATGTTAGTTGCTTGACTCCTCTTATGTTCAGGGAGGCCCAGATCCTTTACTCCGTGGAATGTTCTCGCAACACGTGAAAAGACCACAGCGAGTTACCACTACTGTGACAGAGAACATGTTCGGCTCTACTGATCTATCTTCTATAAACATTCAAGTAAGTGAAGCCAAGATACATCTCTGACGTTTCGATTTGCCAGAGAGGAAGAGATCATGGACATCCAAGTTACACGAAATACCGTGAGCTATGTGGTATGGGAGTAGCTTCAGATTTCGACGAGGTAAACATCTGGCTATCTGTGTCTTCATCAACTCTGTTCAGCTTGCTAGAGAAATTTTAAACAGTGGAACACGTGAAAAACTTCGTAAAGTATATGGAAATGTTGACAAAATCGATTTGTGGGTAGGAGCTCTTCTAGAAGATCCTGTTGTCAGAGGTCTTGTTGGCCCCACTGTTGCTTGCGTTATCGGACCACAGTTCAAGAGAACTCGAGACGGAGATAGGTGAGTGGATGTGCTATGCATGGAAACGATAACAATAATGATTTCATCAGATTCTATTATGAAAGCCCCGGAGTATTCACACGCCAACAGCTGTCTGAAGTCAGAAAGAGTTCATTGAGTCGGATAATCTGCGATAACACTCAGACAATCACGGTTTGTAGTATGTAGCATGATGTTTATCTGAATGTTTGTTGCAGATGGTGCCACGAGAAGCTTTCCGAATCGGTCACTTAACACCATGTAATCAAATACCATCAATGGACTTGTCCAAATGGAAGGAGTTTTAAATGGCTTTTGAAAGATTTCTTAATTACTCATATTCTTTTCTAATCTTTCGAAACGTCGAGAATGTCTCAAACTTTTATATCAATGCGGTCAATGCGGGCTCAATCTCTTAGCCATTGTTCTACTTGTGAATATATATCTGTATGTAATCTTATAATCATGATGTGTAGAATATTCGTTAACTTTGGAAACTTTCCGACTGCTGTGTCACACAGTGACAAGCATTGTGACACTTAATATCTGACACTTGTTCTTATGATACTGTGTTAAGCAATTGTAATCCTAATATGAAAATGTAAAAATTAAATTAGTTGTTTGACAGATTTTCTTTCCATGCTATGATCATAGGATGTTACCCGAGTTAGGCTTCATTTCATTTTGCTTAGACGTTGAGAGCGGTTGTGCGCGTTGGCTTTGTTCTCCGCTCCCACACTTCATACAGCTGAACAATTCAGTTTCATAACTCATTTACATATGATACAATATCCACTCTTCTTCTCACTTGAAGGCTGAATCAAATTTGGCGAAGTTATCCATTTGTTTAGAAGGAGGCGTCTTCGTTTTATGTCCAATCACTTTCACATAGTTTATAGGAACCACACCTATCTTACTTCCGTCTTGAGTACTGAAACGAATCGTGTAAGTCTTTCTTTCATTCGCAACTAACCTAGCAAGTAACCATCCTCGAACACGAGGCTGTTCTTCTTTTGGAGCTATACGAAGAAGATCTCCCTTCATGAAAGAGAGCTCCTGCTCGTTACTTGCTTGGAATGGGAACAAGGTCTACAAACAAGATCATGAAAAACGAGTATGTGAAAAGGAAAAACCTCAGCGGTATAGTGATCTCCACTTCCTGTAGCCCATTTCCTCTTTTCTTCTACTGTTTTAACCATTTGATCAATGAATTTGTAGATGACGTAGGGACCTCCCAAAGCAACAGTCCAGAAGAGCACTGTTGGCCAGCTAATTGACTGAGACCTATCTGATCCCAGAATATCGACCCCTAAACTCAGAGTTAGAAGATGAAAAGTTAGCGCATTACCAAAAGGTTGTTGAGAATCTCCCCAAGCCTCTTCAACTACACTTGCATAGTTTTGAGGCTTCAGTTTCAAGAACACTAAAAACTTTTTCCACAGCTTGATAATGAACTTGAACAAAGCTAGGGACAGAACCGCTGAGCTCACCTGTAAATGGGGTTCATGAAGAGAACGTGTGATTCAACTAACTTGCATTTTCAAGCGACTGAACTGTTCGACGACACCAATTACGGCTCGAAATGAACTGTATACTGCATTATGAGTTGAACTGAGCATATTAGCAACGGATGTGACGGCGTTTACTACCGATTCGATTGACTCGAAAGCTCCTCTTGAAGATTCTTCATAAAGAATATTTAAGGAATGTTTTGAAAACTGTAGTGAATACCTTCTGCTAAGCGAGCGAATGTTGTGTCTCTGCTCATTCCATACCCACCGTACGGCATAGTTGGATACATTCCGTTTCTATACATTCCACTGTGCCTAAGTGTGTAGTGAGTTTTCATTGTGTTGTATGTAGAACTTACATGTTACCAAGGTCTTGGTTATAACCCATTGCCGTGTTTGGCATTCCCATGTACCCACCGTTGAGGACTGAACCATAGTTATATGATTCAAAGGGTCTAGGAGGTAGAGGTGGAGGAGTAGGATATTGACCAGAATTATCCATTAATAAAGAATATTTTATAGTCGACGATACACTCAGAAGAGTAGGCGTCTACGCTCCTTAGCGCTAATCAATACTTGTGTGATAAGACTGTTCGCCTGCAGTGACATATTTTGTAGTTTAATGAAAGAATCAAATATACAAGTAAGTGAGTGTCACATTTTTTTATTTTCGCATAACTTAAAGAAAAAAATTGAACAGATCAATAGTTTGAAACCCGAGCATATAGTAACGAAGTTTCAATGGAATTACTCTTATCTTTGGCCGGCAGCGTAACCTCCACGACCGCCTCCTCCTCCTCTTGGGGGCTGGTTTTGGTTACGTTGGGCATTAGCCAATTGCTTTCTGGCTCTTTGCATGTCCTTCTGTTGACGACGAACTTCATTGACTTCGTTCTTAACAAGGTCCACAACCTTAAAAGATAATAAGTACTATGAGAACTGTTATTGAACCTTACCGTTTCTGGAATACGCAAGTACTTGATTGTGGAACCACGAACGTAAACTTCCGACATCTTGTAGAACTTATCTCCGTCCTGATGATACGAAATGGATAACAAGCTTGTAAGAATCAACCAACCTTGGTAGTAAAAATAACATCTCTAAGATGGATATTCATCCATGAGTCGCAGGATTGCAAATGGCCGTTATATGTTTCTCCTAAAACGTAAACCGTTAAGCTGCTCATACAAGATGGCTTACCATTTTTCAATTCAACAAGCATAGGATGATTCTGAGCAGTTTTGAGTAAAGAGAGAGGCAACTTAAGATAACAATTAGATAGGCTTAAGAAGTTCGACTTACCACCATCGTTGATTAAGGTTTGTTCCGGGTTGTCTGCAAAACGGATCTATTTATGAAAGTGAAGGTAAGTAAGATGTATATACAATCAGACAAACAGATAACATTAAAATGAAAAGAAGGAAATGAGATAAGAGAAGAGGAAGTGAGAAAGAGGAGAAAAGCACAGCCGAGTCAGAAACCGTTCGAATACAAAATGGCGCAAATAGCGCGTTACGTGAGATTTGGACAATTATCGATTTTTGCTATATAGAGCATTATGAATGACTAGCATTGCATAATTTTGATTAAAACATAATTTGCTGATGAATAATAAACGTTTTTGTTGTAAATTCTTGGATTCTTAAATATATTTGAAGCTTGAGCATACGGTCTTTTCTGCTCTTTTACGTGATTTTGCGTACGTGTATGTGGATGTCTTACGTTCGATAATTCTAAGTGGAAAGCGAGTCGTATGTTTCTTGATGTTCCAAAGATCGCCTATTCAATGCTAAAAGCCTTTATTGTTTAATTGAGCAACTACCAACCTTGTCTTCTTGTCTCTCTCATTTCAATTAACACCGATCATCATTTTTCAGATGGTTAAAACCAAAAAAAAAGTTGGAACAGCTAAGAGAAGCACTCAAGCCGAAGAGCCAGTTGCCCAAGAAGAAGCTACGCGATCGTAGGGTTATCATTGATTATTTATTAATGTTTGTATTGTTGTAGACAACCTGAAGCAGATGAAGACAGCTCTTCTAGTGATGAAGGACCGGTAAGTGTTTTACTAAACTTATCTTTTTGACATTTGATTCGCCTAGGAATGGACGGCTGATGATGAGAAAGCTTTCTTGAAAACCTTAGGAGCCTTGAAAAGTAAAACTGAAAGTATTTATGATAGCAAAAAGAAGTATTTCATTAATCCATAGTATTCTTTCATTTTTGTTGGTTTTCCAGTTTTTGGAACGAGGAAGGAACATCTTCATCCGCGAAGGCAACGAAGAAGGAGAAAACTAAGCCGATGTATCTCAAAGATTATGAGAGAAAGCTTGTGCTTGAAAAAGACGGGTAATATTCGTTTTATTCTTATCTTCATACTTCGGTTTAACTTTGTATTTTAGACAAATTGATGATAGCGAGGAGGATGATGATGAAGTAGATGCTACCCAACAACCTGGATACTATGAAGAGCAGGATGCCATCAAGAAACAGTTAGTTCATTTCTCTTCAAAAGGGTTTTATTCTTTCTTTCTCTCTATCCAGATTGAAAGCTGCCATTGATGGTATAGAAGAGGATGATGGGGAAACTCTGTTCAAGAAACGAGAGAAAACTGTAGAAGACAAGGTTAGTTGGATTCAAAACCGTTTGAAGATATGTGAGTTTCAGAGTAAAGAGGAGTCTGATTATTATGATTGGATCAAGAATAAGAAGAAGGGAGTGAAAGTTGAGAAAGAAATAGAATCACTCAAAAAAGTTTGGGATAATCCACAGCTCGAAGATGATGATAAGTTCCTTCGCGATTATCTTCTCAATAAGGATTACGAAACCGATGAGAAATTCGAGTATGAACATAGTTTGATGAACTGGTTGAATTTTTGCTTTAGAACTCCAACTTACGATGAGATCATAGATGCTGAAGAGGAGGAAGAGCAAATGGAAAGAGAGAGGGAATACGAACGAAAATACAATTTCCGTTTTGAGGAACCTGATCAAGAATTTGTTAGTTTCTGCCTCTTACTTGAAATCGAGATGAAAGTCGTTTCCAGATCAAACAATATCCTCGAAGTGTCAGTGAATCTCTGAGAAGAGAGGATAAGAAAACGAAACGAAAAGAGAAGAGGTTAACGAAGAAGGAAGATAAGCTGAAAGAGAAGAAGGAAAAGATCAAGGTGAGGTGGACTTGTTTGTAAGTTGTTAGTTCTTTGATTTCAGGCTTTGAAAAAGAAACAAGGGGCCACTAAGCATTTGATTGAAGAGAAACTAAAGCGACTAAAAGAAGTAACGGGAGATGACATCCCAATAAACCTTGACGACTTGAAGGGTGATTTTGACCCAGCTGAGTATGATAGGCGCATGCAGGTTAGTGCATAGCTTTCGTTGTTCGATTCTGATTTTTCTGTAGGAATTATTCAATGAAAAATATTATGGCGAAGATGTTAACTATGAAGCTGATGAGCAGAAGCCAGTTTTCAGTGATATGGAAGACGTATGTGAATAATCATATACCCCACTTGATTCATTTCATTCAGTTCGATGAGGATGGCTTCGAGCGAGAACCAGAAGAGAAGAAAGTAAAGAAGGTTTCAAAGACGAAAGCAGTAAAGGGGGAAGATGAAGATGGTTCAAATGAAAAGCAAGAAGCAGCTGAGCAATCTGAAGATGAAGACGATTACGAGTCTGAGATCAGAGGTCCTAGAAGAAAAGGTTCGCTGAACATCTAAAAACATTGAATACCGTGCCTTTTTAAGAATCTAAAAGAAAGCTGAAAAGAAGAAAGCTCTTGGAAGAGTCAAAGAAGAAGAAACCTTTGTTCGATCCATCTGAGAAAACTTTTGAAGAATATTTTGATGAATATTATGCCATGGACTTCGAGGACTTGATTGGTTCGTACTCATTGTGTATTTTTCTTATCCTGATTCAGAGGATCAACCCACGAGGTTCCGGTACAGAAATGTAGTACCTAACGATTTTGGTCTTACTGCTGATGAAATTTTGAATGCTGATGAGAGAAACTTAAACAGCTGGGCTTCAGTTAAGAAGGTAATGGTGCTCACTACAACAGTTGTAACTATCTCAGTGTTTCAGGCTATAAGTTACCGATCAGACGATCAAGAACTTTTCGAAGTGCAGGCTTATAAGAAGAAAGCACGTAATGCACAAATGAAGAAGAGGATCCTAGGCGACTTGTATAAGAAGTATGAACTCTCAAACAGCTATTGTAATCTTTGTATGACTTACAGAGATGACGTAGAGATGGATGCAGAAGAAGCAGGTGAAGCAGGAGAGGAAGTTGAAACTAAGAAGAAGAAGAAAAAAGGCAAAAAATCCAAAGAAAGTCACGCTGATGCTGGAAACGACCAGGAGTACGCTGGAGACAACGATGTCGCACATGAATATCCAGAAGAAACCGATGTCGCTCAGGAATATCCTGAAGATTCTGCGCATACTGAAAACGTGAACAACGAGGTTAATCTTGAGTTTCAATTTTCTTACAACTTAGTCTTCCAGACCAACACTGAGAAAACAGCCCGTCGAAGAAAGAAGAAGACTGCTCAAGCTAACGGAAAACTGCCTGCTCAAGAAGACCATCAGGTAGGCCTCTATTCTAACACGTTCATCGTTTTCGTTGTTCAGAGCGAAGAACAACAGCCAGCGAGACAGAATCCTCAGAAACGAAAGAATGAAGATGGAGGAGCTCCACATAAATTCACAAAGAAATCGAAGAACACGAACGCAGCACCAGTTGTTTCCGATGAAAGACTACGTGCGTATGGAATCAATCCTAAGAAGTTTAATGCCAAGATGAAGTATAAGTCGCGTAAAACAGAGGGAGAATCGGCTCCAGTTTAATTGTTATTTAATAACCACCTCATGCTCATAACCTTGTTTTAACCAGTTGTTATTCTTGATTGTTATTGTTGAATTGAATATTGAGATTTAGAAGCTTCGGTTGTTTGCGTTGAACACTCGTTTCATATCCAATCATTACCTGATCATACGTTTCGTATCTTAATATATGATTTAGAGCTAGCATAATGGGAGGAGTAATGAGTTACTTCCGTAACTTGTTCGGCCAACGTGAAATGCGAATACTTGTCTTAGGACTTGATGGAGCAGGAAAGACTACCATTCTTTATCGGTTACAGGTTTGATACTAGCTGATGTAGTCCTTATACTTGGTGGCTCTAGGTTGGTGAAGTTGTAACCACTATCCCCACTATTGGGTTCAACGTTGAGCAAGTAGAATACAAGAATTTGAAATTCCAAGTAAGCACTAGTCTTTGTCCCGATATTCATTTAAATATTTCTAGGTCTGGGATTTAGGTGGACAGACATCCATTCGTCCATACTGGCGATGCTACTATGCTAACACTGATGCAATCATATATGTGGTAGATTCAGCTGATAGGGACAGAGTGAGTTCTTCTAATCTATCTTCAATTTATTAGCTACTCTTTGCAGATTGGAATTTCCCGTCAAGAACTTGTAGCGATGCTTCAAGAAGATGAATTGCAAGGTGCCATTCTAGCTGTGCTTGCCAATAAGCAGGTATGTTATACTATCTTGTGCTACCTTCGAGAGTTTGAGTTGAACGCAACCGGTCTGCACTGTTCGTTCGAGTAAATGAAAACAGCATGCCAACCAATGAACATCTTAAGCGTCTAGTGAACGTCTTCATTTACAGGATATTCCCAATTGTCTAACTGCTGCTGAAATACATAAAGCTCTTGGATTAGAAGCACTCAGGAATAGAACTTTCCAAATTTTCAAAGTAAGTCTCGAATGCTAACCTGTTTCTCATTGGGCTCTGTTCAGACATCAGCGTCCAAAGGTGAAGGATTAGATGAAGCTATGGAATGGTTAGCCAATCAGTTGCAACAGAAGAAATAAGGAACTAGAAGTTGCCTATTTGAATGGAGTTAACTATATGTACACAAAATCCTTATTCTCTGCTAAAACGAGTTCCTGTGAAGATTTACTGTGATTTCCATTGTTTCACCCCCTTTCGTAATTCATGCTGTCTCTAGCAATGTGTTGTGGGCTTCGTAGTTGCTATAACTCAGCATTCTCTTCTATGGATAATAACTATTTTAACATTATATTAACTTATAATTTATCATAACAGATCATTCTGGGCTATTAACTGTATGGTTTGAATATTAGTAAAGTCTGTCAGTATGATTTATTCTCAGTTGTATAAGACATCACGGGAGACACTCCATATCATTCATTCATGCATCTAAGCTTCTCCCATGTTTCTTACTCATCCTCCTGTGATCTCTTAGATTTCTTCGCTTTCGGGGCCTCTTTTTTCACTGCTTTCCTTTTCGGTTTCTCCGTTTTAGCATATTTTTCAGCAATTTGATCGAAAACGGAACTACGGTTTTGCTGTCTAGCAAGTATCATCTCTTCTAAGCTCAAGCTCTCCTAAACATACATGGTTATCCAACTCTTCCTTTTTCATCAACATACTTTAGGATTCTTCTTCTCAATTTTGGCCGCTGCAGTTTCTTCCTTCTTTGCTTTTTTCTTACGAGCGTTCACACTTTTCTACAAAAAAAGGTTACGACTGTTCGAGTGTTGAGGTAATCTACCTCTGATGAAGTTCGAGTATAGTCTGCCGTCTTCTCTAACTTTCCTTCATTTATCAAAGAATCAATGAGTTCCTGAAGAATGCGGAAATTTTTCGAAAGTCTTCAGAACATACCAAAATTCTTGGCTCTTGCTCATTGTCCGCTCCTACTAGATAATTCATCATCTTATCTACATTACCGTTGAACCGCTCGAATGTTTTGACTATGTCATCTAGCTCTTCTTCACTTCCTGAAGAATAGCTTGAGCTATGAAACATCAAGTGCTAATACCTCTGTATTTGGTTAAATAAGAGTCAATATCTTTCTTCGAAACCTTCTTGAACACCTTGCGCCATAAGCTCATAGCAGTTTCGAAGTCTGAGGATCCGAGCTCATCATCAATCGCTCCTGAACACATGTTAGAATACTTGTAAAGATGGATGAGCAATGCCTGTCTCATCATATAGAGCTCTTCTAGATTTATCAGACAGAATCTCATAAGCTTTGGAAATCAATTGGAACTTAGTTGTAGCGTCTTTCTTATCATTTTCTGATTGCCCAGCTTTATCAGGATGCCATTTCATGGATAATTTATAATAACCTTTCTTAACTGAAATAATAAACTTCGATATGAAGAAGTCAATGACAAGAAATACCATCAGCTAGACTAGCTTCAGAAGTTATTCCTAATACGTCATAGAGACCATCACACCCAAAATGTTCCTTACAATCCTCCAAGAACATTGAAAATTGACAGTATGTATATGAAGCTGAAATCAAAGCACTAGCGTCGTCCAATAATCGAGAAAGGCTGGCTAAATATGACCGCGAGCTGCGACGCGTTACTTGCTGTTTTGGCGCTTCGTATTGCTTTTTCAAATTTCTAAATAAAAGTAGCGCATCTGTAATATAATAAAATGAATGTGCTTCCTCCTGCTTGGATAAAATAGGAAATGGAAAATTAAGTTAAAGGAAGTATATTCTCTGTGTTTGCTTTGTGAAATGTGTAGAGCTCATCTTCTTTTGAATTTCGTTTTAAGTGTGAAGTTCAGTTGGTATCTTCTCCATCAACGTTCTCAAAGATGTTCGTCCGGGTTCACCGGTAGAAGTATCACGATCAAATGAAATGACTTGTTTCACATGACCTGTTACTTTCTGAAACCATAGTCCCGAAATCCGAAATGTACAGCGGAGCA